AAATCTGTGATACTTTAGGAAATTTATGATAGTTTGGAAAGTTAGCGAAGCTTTGGGAAATTTGTAATACCTTTAAAAATTTGTGATACTTTATGAAGTTAGTGAAACTTTAGGAAATTTGTGGAAGTTCAGGAAATCTTGTGAAATTTGTGGAAGGGTAGGAAATTTTGTGAAATTTTTAGCACTATTACTTTATATTATTATGATACTAGTATACTGTGATCCTGTAGCGGTTCTTAACCTAAGATATCATCCATCCATGCAGAAAATAAAACTAAAAATACCAAGATTTCCCATTAATAAGTTCATTCAGAAAAGTTTCAGTACCAGCAAGTGGTAATCGCAATTCTCTCTTACTGCAACCGAATATCAATTTTCCTCCGTTATTATTTAACGACCTAAAACCTTTTTCCAATCTCTGACAATAAGTCAAAGACAAAAACTACACACAAATCCAACCAAAACCACCCTGAACGCTACCAATTTCACCGCAAAAGAAAAAGAAACTCAAGATCTTCGTATATAATTCCCGCAGCTCGAAATTGTAACCGGACTAAACCGAAAATACACTAGTATGCAACTAGAAAGTAACCAGAATTGCAACTAATTCGCTCAATTCTAAACTCAGCGGGAGGAATCTCAGTCGGTCATTCGGGACGAAGTCGGACAATTTCAATAAGCCTGGTCGAACAAAAGGCACGATGACGCGTTTGTTCATTGCTCGTTTGCATGCCGGTGAATGAAACGAAGAAGCACGGAAAAAGAGGAAGAAAGGAAACAAAACGAAAGGAAACAAAAAGGAGGAAAGAGAGCGCGGGGAAAAAGGAAAACACACGGAAGCAAAGCAGCGAAAGGACACAGCGTGACGGACGGCATGGTAAAAGATGAAACGGCAGAATTGTAATCGTAGCAATAACGGAACGAGTGCGCACGATTACATTCGTTCTTTGTGTCGTTCGCCAGACTGATCTAACCGCGCGATTTACAAAAGAATTGTATTTGTTTCGTCCATACAATCGCACCCTCCTCTTCCCGCTGCCCCGGATAACGATTCAAAACGGAATCCCTTTCTTTTTGAGAACGTAATACCGATTCCGCCTCGTATGCTTTCAAAGACGCGCGTCCCGGTGAAACAAATTCGATGAAAAAAGGGAAGAAGAAAAAGAAGAGAGAAAAAAAAGGAAAATAAAAGAGGAAAAGTGGAAAAAGAGGCGAAGAAACTGGGGAAAAAGGGCGAAGGATTGAAACCGGGGTACGAGCTGCAAAATTAAAACAAAAGGAAACGCGAGGGATGCGCGAGTTCGCTAGTCAAAGTGAGTGATTCTGTTATTGGCAGCGCGAGAAATTAGTCCAGCTATTTTCTAGATGGTCGTCCAGGAACGATAGAGAATAATTTTTAGAGAATTCAGGGGAGAAATAAGCAGATTTGCACAAAATTGAGAACTTAGGAACGAAGAATGGGAAAGAAATTTGAAAATAGGTATGACAGAAGAATATTAATCCTTTAACTGTCACGTCGAAATTACATGTTTCGCTCAGGACGTCACGTGAGATGCACAGCTAGATGCAAGATTTGTTCTAATATTTTCTTGATGTTCTAATAAAAATCTTTAACACTTTGGTTGATTATAAAATACCCTATAATTAATTATAAATAACCCTATCCTAGAAATGGATATTAATTAATATATCAAATTTACAATTACACAACGATGCGTGGAATACCGAAGTAAAATAATTCTACGTCTTAATTTGCATACGATTTCTTGTTTACCGTGTTAGAAATATCGTCGATTTCATGGCAGGAAGTCTTCGAATTACTATTTTCCTGTAATGTTAAAATCTTCGAATGCAAAAGCTTAATTGTACAATGGGGCACTTTTTACTTCAAAGTATCTTCCAATTATATTCAAACTGCACTAACTACCAATTTTCATTCAATGTTGTTCAATGTAGTTTAAGTAGTTCAAGCGCTCCGGTCGCCAATGATCATCGTAGCATCACAGGAAAAATCATGGCCGGTCATATATGACCAACGTGGTAGTCACAGTATCAATGGTAAAATGGTAAAACAAAAATATACAGAGGAAATATTAAATCGGTAATCATAAACAAAATAAAAAACTCATTAATGCTCTTAGAAATATGAATTTGGAGATTAAAATTAATACGAAATTGTATTATTGACTCCGGAATTTAAGATCAATATAAAAGACTTAACTCGTATATCTAGAGAATCGTAGAGAAGTAAGCAAATTTTCACAAAATTGAGAACTTGGGAACGAAGAAAAGGAACGAAATTTGAAAATAAGTATGATAAAAGAATATTAATGGTAAAGTGGTAAAAGAGAAACACGCAAAAGAAATATTAAATTGGTAATCATAAACAAAATAAAAATGCCATTAATGCTCTTGGAGATGTGAATTTGCAGATTAAAATTAATACGAAATTGTATTATTGACTCCGGAATTTAAGATCGGTATAAAATACTCAACTCGTACATGTAGGGTCGTAGAAAATTAAATTAAAATTAATCCGTCAGTGGAGGAAAACATTTTCAAATTCCCCAATAATCCTCGATAATTCGAATATCACATAAAACAGCTCGTCGATCGCTACACTAATTTCAGCCATAAAGTAATAATTTCCATCGCCGCAATCTTTATCCATAATTCGCAAAAGTAACGATAATTTACCGAAAAATAATACCGCGATAAAATATCGCGTGAAAGTCTAAGGGAATGTCGAATCGTCGATTTTCAGCGATTATCGGGGAAATAAAATAAAATAATCGGGATGACCAGTGGACAGAAATAAATGATTAATAAGCAGGAGGAAACCGCGCGAAACGAATTTATTTACGAATAACATTGCTGCCTAGCGAATGTTGAATATTTATGGAATCAGCGGGCAACATTGCGCGCATTAAACGAACACTCGCTGGGAACGTATTGTCCGTGCTCGGGACGAGAAAGCACGATAAATATACTTTTCATAGGGTTTTTCTGCGCAAATGACAGAACGCGTTGATATTACGCTTGCCGCGGGATTTATGCCTTTTTTCCCTCCCGATAAATCCGCCACTGGGCCCCGGTCACACCAGGGAAGAAACAAAAGCGATGAAACCGCTTTCAGCAATGGCGAACATTGTAACAAGCGAGTTTTCAACTGTTCCTCTCGAGTTTTCATATTCCAACGATGTTTAAACAAATACCTTAACTGGGCTCTTCGTTACATAAATATTATGTTATAATTATTCTATGTTATGAGCTAAATGTTAAATGTTATAATTCTATAACACGACGTTCACTTGGGAATTATTAATAATGGAAATTGAAATCAAGGTAAGTACATTTACCAAGGAAAGTTGGAAAACAAGATAACTATTCCAAAATTTTTTAATATATTTCTTTTTCATTTTGAAATATGTATATTGCAATTAGAATCATTGCCAATCTTGTGTTTAGATTTATCGGTAGATTTATTATAACGTAGAATTCAGTACGTGTAATATGAGCTGTTCATTGCACAAATTGATTAACTTCATTTTTTGAAAAATCTTAAATTTAAGTGTCAAAGCACTTGATATAGTCATAACTTTTTATATTTAAGATTTTTCAAAAAGTGGAGTTAATTTATTTGTGCAGTGAACGGTTGATATGTCGAGGATTAATGCACCAAAATTTTTCCTAGTTTAGTATTAAATCAATTTAGTATATCAAATTCAAAATGAGACGAAGAAATAATATCTTATACGTCCATGGAAAATAAATTTCTCTTCGAATATCTCGTATAAAATTTATTTATAATTTTAATATATATGTATATATATTTAAGGGGACAGAGAATATAACAAAATTTGCAAACCACTACTTTGTTCCCCAAGTTTTGCCAATAATAATTTCAATATAAATTACAGAAAGAATCTCAAGTTTCATTCCATTAGTCTCTCATTGTGCCACCGTATTTTGTTTCTCGCGAAAGTGGAAGATTCCGGAGAATTTGCAAAATGGAGGAAGAATTCGACGAAACGCGGAGAACTCGGAAGATTCGAAGAATTTTATGTCTCCGCGTAAAATCTGGGCGAACGATAACTCGGATAAAAAGCGAGTCCGTCGTTCCATGTGTACGGGAAAGTTAATCAGAGGCAAATTTCGTTACGATGTTGCCAACCATGGCCGGAAGTAGCCTGAAGGAAAAGGGAAAAGTTACGTATCCCACGGACCGATTAACATAATTTGCCTACCAAAGGTTTCTCCAACTTCTTGCAGAAACTTTAATGCGCCCCCTCCCCTCTCTCTCTCTCTTTCTTTTTTCCTCTCTATCTTTTTCTTTTCGGCTGTTTCTTTTCATCTCCGGCGAGAGAATTTGCACTAGGGGAAGTGGGTTAGCCCCAAAGTTCGGGATAATTGGCTATTTAGCTCGGAAATAAAAAGGAACACATCGATGGAGAGTAAAGGGGTGAGAACAGATCTTCGATCATGGACGAACCGCACCGATTTTAATCGTTTTTCGGTAACAAACTTTTAGCCACGCGAATCGTCAATTAACAAATATCGCGGTTATTAAATTACAGAGTACGGTCGGTTTCCGCGATGAGAGGGAAAAAAATGGGAAATTTGGTAGGATGTTAAAATTCGATTATTTCGTGGCAGATTAAAACACGAGTAATAGCGTAATTCGAGAGCCAGCTCGAAATCGTTACGAACGATTCCCGATGTTTTATGCGGTATTTAACTATACAGGTAATGTAAAAAAATATTTGGACATGGGACAGCTTCGCGTGGATATTTTTCGGGTATTAATTAAATAATGAAATATTAATGAATCACCGGGTATAGAGGCATAAATATAAATTGCGAACGTAACGGAAGTATATTAAATTTTATATTTAACAGGGAATTATGTTATATCGTATTATAGAATTATGTACGAGTACTTTGTATTCGTCCCGCATGAAAGGTTAGTTCGATCTCCGAGAGGATGGTTCGATACTCACTGTTTGGGTCGTGTATCCATTTCTTCTTATCGCCCACTTTCATTATACGCGTGTCCTCCTGGAACAAAAGAATATTCTCATTAAATCATACGGCTGTAACTACCCTCTTCGCTCTGTTTCGCTAATTTATTTATTCACGGAGGAGGGGGAAAAAGAAGACCTTTGAATCTATTCGTTGCCTTTCAATGGTACCGCGCGTACACACCCTGCACAATTTTACATAAAATCCAATAACGAAATCCTGTCCTATTGTTACATAACAACGAGTAACCCAGTGTTCCACGTAATCAGCAAACAGAGAAACGATAACAAAGCTGGAGACTGAACCGGGAGGAAAGGAGGAGAACAGAGGCAAAGGAAACAATCGCTTTCTGTTCGAGGCAATTAAAGCAAAGCCATTTCCCTTGGCTCGGGTTTTCATGAATTCTATCCACCGACTCATCGTTTTCTCGATGCAAAGTATGCATCGTGAAAGGAACGTAGACCCGCATTTTTAGCTTGGCTGGCATCGAAGGTCGCGCCTCGTGTCACGAAATTCATGCTCGAGCCTCGTTCTGCGCCAAAAGCCTTCGTTTAATGCCGCAACAACCTTCGCTGCGGTCGTACGTAACGCGAAACGACGAACAACGATCGCTCATCACGTGCATAAAATTCAGGGTTGCTCGGCTAAAAACGAGCCGTTTCGAAGTTTAGGCCGAGGTCGTTCGTGGTACCGATACCGACCAGGGGGGTTATAGTGTAGAGGGATATCGTAAAAGCTCGCGTGATAGTTCACGTGCCAGTTCGCAACAATCCGAGGATAATATCTAAAATACCTACGGGGAAAACTGGCTTCTGTACGATTTAGGGAATTACTACTGACCACCATCCTCCCACAACGAGATTGAATGAAGAAGCATTTGCGGAATGATGAATTTCGAAACACCTATTTTCTTTATCCATATTCATTTTTTCCCCTCCATTTCTTGCTATTTTCCTTGATTTTCCATCCCACTTTTTTATTTATTTATTTATTTGTTTTTTAATTCACTTTGCCGGCAATTTTGTGTAGATTGTATCCCCCCCCCCTTTATTGTGCATATTTATTTTTTATATTTATTTTGGTGTTCTTAGTTTTTATTTTCTCCTTTTTTTTTTTAAATTTGGAAATTACAAACATGCCGACTGTATATGTAAAGGGAGAAGAGAAAATTGTGATAGGATTTCCCAACTTGATCACAGAAAATGGTGGAACTATATAGGAAATTTCAAGTTATGAAATATAATGCTTTTCCATAACTTAAAATTGAAATAGAAGAGAAAGTTGTTTGGGAAAACAACTGGAAACTCCAAGAGAAACCAAACTAGTAAAGAGGGGAAATAAGAAGACAGAAGAACAATGAAAAACCAATTTGAAAAAGGCGAAAATTAATTTTTCTATTTACCCCGGAGGAATCGAACCCGGGTCTATCGGGTGGCAGTCGCTGACGCTACTCACTGTACCATCGACCCACTCACCTTACATTTCGATATTTATCGAGCACCAATTCTCTCCTCTTATAAGACAAGCTCCAGTCCTTGTTCCACTCAAACAGAACTACATTTTACGAATTTTTCTCCAAGAATTATCCCATTCAGCCACATTTCAAGTAAGTTCATCTCGTACAAGGGAAAACTATAAAATTCGTATCGCGAAATTCCATATCGATTTACAACATCCATTAACCATAGCACATATTACACATTTTAATTTCCATGCAAAGCGCGCTACGCTTCGTTGCATTACGCTACGCTTACGAGCTCTATGCAACATTTAGCCAAAAAATTCTCGCACTGAACACGATCTCGAATCGCCCATTTACCGCGTTTCCAGAATTTTCGCGAAAGTGGAATTTTTGCTACACCGTGTTAAACATACCCCCGGCACGGGAACCTTAACAAGCATTAAACAACGGCCCAGTTCTCGTTGTCGCGTTTGGCACGATTATACAATTAGAGCGGAATGATATTTTGCAATTAGCAGGATGACGGGACTTTCCGGGCAAAATTTAAAGACGCGAGAAGATGGCGCCACTCGAGCTGTTCCTCGTTTCGGACTTTCAAATTGGCCCGTTGAATCGGTGCAACGACGTGCGGCATAGCCTGTAATTATCATCGAACGGAATAAGGAATAGCTAGCCCGAGACGCGGTGCAACGTCGAATTTACTGCAGCCGGGCTATCGTCTTCGCCAGAAACGAATTCCTTGTCTCTGCGAGTAATTACAGTGATCGGGAACGCTGCTAATGTTGGGCCCCTTGAAATTTATTAGACGCTCCAAGGTTCCGTGTATTTTAATGCGGTCGTGAAGAACGGACGTGCTTCCTCCTCTCCTGTCATGATTTTCGACGTTTAAATGGAATACGTGTAAGTTACGGCAAGATTTTAGTCTCTTTTTAACTTTTGTACCTTTTTTTAGGCTTATACATGGATTTTTAGGAGAAATTCCAGAGTTCACTGTCTTTATATAAATTAATATAATCTTGACAGATGTAACGCTCTCTAACAAATTTCAACTGTTTCTCTAATCTGTAATAACCCATTAGGTAACTATCGTAGAGTTTACTTTTTTGAAAACAAATTCGCAATCGAAATTACTTTGTGATCTTCGATTTTTGAAAATTGTGAGTTTTTTTAAAAGCGCATGATTTTTGGTTAAAATGAAATGTTATATGAAAAGTGAGAAGGTAAAGAGGTTCATTGTAAGGGGGATTTTTCCACCACGCAGTCATTGTTCGTACATTTATCAGGACCGTGGTCATGAGCAATCAACATCAAAATCACCGTTCAGTAGATCATATTTTTGTATGTACATAACATGTTTATATTTCAGAGAAGAAAGAAAAATATATTGACACACATATGTACCATGGAAATTTATTCTATGGAGATGCGAATGCAGTTTCAGTATGTAAAACATGTATAAATTATCAAATTTATTGTTATTAACAAATTTATATTGTTAATAACAAACTGTACGCAACGTATATTTATAATAAATGTGAAAAAATTAATAAATAACTAACTATACTATTTGAATTTATGACGTACATTTGTAAAAATGTATCTAAAATTTGCAAAAAAGTTTATAAATTATTTAATATATTGTTAATAACAAATTAATATTGTTATTAACAAATTGCTCGCGACGTATATTTATAATAAAAGTGAAAAAATTAATAAATTATTCGCTATGAGAGTGGAAAATTAATAATTAATAAAATCGGCCAGATTAGAAAATTTCCGATCGGAGTGGGGGGCTCGGCCGATCGGAGGCTATATAAAGGGCGACGCGACGCCGTTCAAGTCATTTGTCGGTTTGAGTTCCGAAGTGTAACATCTAAATTTTCGTGCGCGAAGGGGTGGGGACCCGAAATGAGGTTGGGACTAGCCACCCCACCCTCATCCCACCCCATTAAACAATCTAATAATAATTTTTTCTTTTAGGTCTAATTTTTTTTGTTTTCAGCTATTAATTATATTTTTTCAGCTATTAATTATTTTCTCTTCTTTCAGATTTTATTTATTCGCTTCTATTTATTTTTATTTGGGTATTCGGATATTTCGTATAATATTCGAATACCTCGTCGTTGGGTTGTTAATGTCTCATCGTTGGGATGTTTATATCTCATCGTTGGGTTCTTTATGTCTCATCGTTGGCTTGTTCGTTCCATTTAATTGATCTTTATGGTTTATATTTGTATATTTGATTTTATTATGTTTCACTAATCTATTACTAATCTTTTGCTTTTCAGCTTTTCAGGGTTTTCAAGACATCGATGCGTGCGTTTAGACCTAAGTAGTTATAATTGGTCATAAGATAGATGCCTAGACTAAGTGTCATGTGAGCGCTATCCGTTCAAAGGTAACCCACCTAACTTGGAGCGAATATATACATTTTCCCGCTCGCTTACCATACGGAACATAATTGTTCTCGCGATAGTCGCGATCGTTCGTAAGTACCGACTAGCCTACGCGACGTACTCTCGTGTACTGGATAAGTACATGCTTCGTAAGTCATCCTCACGACTCGTCTCCGACACTCATTTCCAGCCACTGTCAATCTCGTCAAGCATCGGGTTCCAGGGTGACCCCCTCGGATCAGTGCGTCTTCTGACCTCGACGAGGCGGTCCGCTGCCTAAGTCGTTCGCGACTGGGGCTCGGGCACATGCTGGCTGACGGACTAGTAGCATCTACGGTTAGACCACAGGGATGATTAAGTTCTACCCCGTGTGGCTGGGATGCGAAGTGTCTGTCTTGGCCGGCAACCGCCCAGCAGGGCCCTCGCGTTGACACTAGAAGTTTCACTGATTCAGGGACTAGCCTTGGTCCACGTGTAAGTCTTGGCGAGTGCGACAGTGACTGGAATTGAGCTAGGCCCGATCGGGAGGGTGCCGAGGTATGAAGTTATCTCTGTACACGGGAGTACATCGCCTAGGCTAGTCGGTCTTTCGAATAATCGCGAACTCGTTCGGGCGCGTCGCGATTTTCTATTAGCTCGCGTGTTTGATATTTCATTCCCTATTTTTATGGGAACTTGAAAATATCTTAGCGTTGCGACAGTAGAGTTTCAGTATACCGAACCGAAACCCCTTTTGTAAGACACGAAATATAATAAAGTGTCAGTAGAGTTGTTTTAACTTCTTTCGCTCCAAGTTAGATTAGGGTACCTTTGATACGGATAGCACCAGTAGGCTGCGCCACTAGGGGGCATGTCCGGGTCTCGATGCGTAGCCACCTCCTCGTGGGGAGACCTGGTAATTGGTATCGTTTTCCAAAGAAAAATCTTTGGAAAACGATTCCAAGCTAAGAGCTACGCATGCATTGTTATGTAAATTAAGATATATATTCCATAATATCAATTTCTCTTTGCCGACATTTCTGTTTACAGAACTATCTGCAGTTCGCGACGTTACCTATCAATCGCCATGTTAACTTTGCTCGTGATTCCTCCGCATGAATCAGACAAAAATTGCAAACAAAACTCAAACATCGGGATTTATCGAGGTTTTTCGGTGATCGATTCACGAAATAAC